GTTGGCAAACAGTAAAAACCAATTATAATGTCCAAGACTATTTGAATTTTTTTCACGTTGGTGTTGTGTTTGGTTATATATTTTTTTAAGATTAATTGCAATAATATTCATGTTTAAATTCAATTGCTTAAGGAGAAGTGAGATGAAAAACAGATTATATATTATTTTCAAATTGAATCAAATTTTTTATGATCAATCTAAATTAAATAAAAAAACTATCTCAATAAATAAATAATTTTTATGATCAAATGAGTTCTAAAATTCGTATCGAGAATTATTCCAAATAAACCAAAATCTTGGGTAATGGATAAACACTACATAGGCAAGAAAGGAAACTTTTTTTTTAGAGTAACTTTATTTCTCTTTTTTGTAAATAAAAGATATCACAAAGAGTATATTCTCACATTTGGTCAAAACGATATTTCACATTTTAGGGTTTTAAGGGGAAGTGAGCCATGAAAATTCACAAAAATTTAACATTTTACCTATGCCATCAAAAAGACCATTCATTAATAAGCAATATGTTCAATTAGTGTAATTTCATTTCAACTTTTATCAAACTAGATTCTTAAGGCCCGTGATACGGGCCCAATATAATCGATTATTAATCATTATTTAACAAATATTAAAAGGCACTTCTATAGCATTCCGGTCAATATTAATTAATATTGATTCTGGTAAAAAAAATTAGTATAAAAAATATTAAAATAACCATCAAAGAATATAGTGCATCATTGCATTGAGTTGCTCCTTCCTTAATTAAATATCTTAATTTTGAGTTTTGGATATGAAAAAAATTCTTAGTAGGGACCACAATATCCGAATGTGCCCTATTTCGACGCACATTAGAATTAATCGAACTCCAATATGAATATTGAATACTGAATAAAAAATATTAAATTAAATTAACCCAATAATATTTTTAAGTATAATTGGTATTAAGGATGGGTAGATTCATTTTTTAAGTTGTAAAACACTCAAGTCTAATATTTAATTTATTTAGTTTTTACTATAATGACACAAATTTATTAGGATTCAATGTTAATTTGTCTGTTAGATTGAATTATATCTTATATAAAAATCATGAATCATTATGTATTATCATCTTGAAATCTATCGTATTCATTTCAATTAATCTGTCATATTTTTCTTTATAATCTATTAAAAAGTAATGTTCCTTTTTTTTTCTTAGTTCCAACTCCACATAACATATTTAGGATCACAAGATTAAAAGACATTTACTATATTTCACACATTTTTAATTTAGAACCACAAGATTAAAAAATCTTTCTTAATTTCTTAAACTTCATTCCAAGTCAAAATAGAACAAACAAATTGAAACGGAGAGATTATTCCAAGTCAAAATAGAACAAACAAATTGAAACGGAGAGATTAATATTTTTTATTTATCACACACATAAAAAATCGAACTAAGTAGCATGTTTCATTATCACATGAAGTTCAATATATGTATAATTTATCTTAATGAACATAATTTTCTTAGCATGATACAATATATATTTTTGATTCTCTTTTTTTCATGCACAATAAGTATTTTTTTTAGCAGGAATAAGTATTTTTGTTATTTTTATCAGTTTAGTGAAAAATTTGCAAACAATCTCAAAACATAAATGCATTTTCTCTTCTTTTTTTTTTTTAAAAAAAAAATCTATCTAGAATTAAATGTTAAATTAACATGTTATTTTGATACATATATCATTACATATCGTATTGATTTCCTTGCCCAATTTTTTTATCTTATTCCAAAATTTATTCATAATTTTTGAAAATACTATTAGGCATTTGCTATTTTTGACATCTCTTTCTAAATATTAATATACTTAAATTTATTTACTTCTCTAATTAATGTACTGATTTTCATGTGTTTCGATTCTTAACTTCTTATTTGAGAAAAAAGAATAGCAATATTAAGTAAATAAAGTAAACAATCCACTATAATTAATTAAATTTTAATCTACTTAATCTTAAAATTTAAATTATTTTACTATCTGAATATTCTTTTCATAAATGTACGTAAATTGAAAACAAAGAATACTTATTATTTCTCTTCAATGCCTGATTCGCAAAATTTTAAAACTATTTATTTTAAAATTTAGTGAGACTCTTAGTTTACTTTAATTTCATTTAATTTATCTATCCATTTTATTTATTAATTTTTATGGTCCCTAATTAAAATATTTTTATTTTTATTCATTTAATACATTTTAAATATGTTTGTTTCTTTTTGTATTTATTTTAGTGCAAAAAGTAAATGTGTTAATGTAATAAGTATAAATTGAATTAAAAATGGGTCCCATCATGTTTAGATAGTACGACCACTTGTGATATTTTTTGTGTTTTTCATGATAGGAAGTACACGTGTCTATCATAATTATAGCAACTTGGTTGGGTATTTGGGAAATTCAATAATTTTGAAGCAGAAAGTACAGCTGTTCTAAGCTGATAATTTTGATAAAATGACAAAAGTGCCCTTGGTCGTCCTGGTCGTCTTCACCTTTCTATACAAAAAATAATACAGAAATTATAGTGTAATTCAAAACATTACAAATATATAGATTTGTTAAATATACAAATCAAACCAAACTAAATAAAATGTTTTTTTATATATACGCTTTCCCCATGTAAAACACACATCCAATTTATTCGATATACAATAGCTCCACCCAATGTGAACAAAATTTACTAGATTCAATCGAAAACCACCATGCACTCCGGCCGTGATTTCTTTAGAGGTATTAGTTTATGCTTACAGAATTTTTGTTTTATGGCAATTGTGAAACAGAACTATTTGTATATATATTAAGGTAGAAAATTTAAAAGGTAAATCTTCTTCATTACGATTAATTCTTAATCCAAGCTTTATGTTAATGATAAAGTACCCGTTTTTTAGAAGATTAATGTGAAAAGGAAGAAAAAGAAACAAGAGACGAAAAAGGGAAGAATAAAATAGTGATTCTTGATTTTTGAAAGTGTGAATGTTATTTAAAGATTTTTTAAAAAAAAGGAGCAGTGAAAAGTTCGAAAAAATTGTGTGGCCAATTCTTTTTTTCTCACATGTTTCTCTTTTTCTTTCTCACTTTTCCTCTTTTTTCTTATATTTATTTTTTACAAAATTTTCAGATGCTTTTAATCTTCCTTTTAATTTTTTTTTAAAAAAATTGAGTTATACCACTTGAGCAAAATAACGCAGCTAAAATTTTGAATCTATGGTCAGAAAAGACGATAGTATATGTATATTAGAATCTGAATAAGTTGTTTATATACATCAGTGGATTTTAGACACAAAAACAACGTTTTAAGTCAAAATTACTATGATAAAACTATAACACCGCTCTACTCAAATGCTATAATACTTCTCATAGACATACTTCAACATGATATAAAAGCAAATAAATGTCATAAGCAGAGGCGTATCTAAGGGGGGGTAACAAGGTTCATGTGAACTCATGCTCCCCTCCCGAGATCATATATAGTAATGTTAAATTTGTTTAAAATATTGAAATATAGATGTGTGAACCCACACTCGGAGTATCACATAATGCGATAATGACTGGGTGCACCTCTTTACGTGAGGTTAGAAATTTGAATTTTATATTTATCTTGTTTTATTTTTCTTTCAAAAATTATGTAACACTTCTCTAAGTGGTAATTGGTAGCACTTTTGACATTTTAATTAATTCTCTCTCTATATAGTAAAAACCTAAATGTCGAACCAATTAAATTTATATCATAGACCAACTTTTTTGTAATAATGCACCCATCATCTCAAAATCCTAATACGCCTCTGGACTCACTCATAAGTTGAGTTTAATTGCCATAATTATTACTAGGGAATTGTTAATTTTACTTGTACATTATATGACACAAGAGTCGAAGGACCCAAAATGTTAGTCACTATAATAAAATTATGTGTATAGTTGAAAAGAGTCCAAATATAGCAAGGTCAACAAAGTAAGGCTGGTAATGTGTGTCTTTAAACTATGTAATAAGGACCACATTGCTCACTGTTTTTCAAGTACAAATTGATCTTTGTTTAGTACTGGACTAACATTATTTTTCTTAAAGGTCCTAAAACTGTTACATAAAGAAGCCTCCAAGGTTTCATGGAGTAAACAAAGAGGTTTCTTAAAGCTGCAACAAAAAATAGTTAAATGTATATGTATTATTCTTAAAAATTGTTTTTCTTTAAGACACTTAGCAGCAGGAGGAGGCAGAGGCACATAGAGTATAGATAGTGTGTATAGGGCTGCAATCCATAGAAAATGATGGAACTATAATACTATTCCCTTCCCTTCCTAAAAAGGTGAACACAAAGGGGGACCCTTTTTTCTTTGCTCTTTGCTTCAATTTCATTTGTCAGGATTTACATTATTCCAATCTCCACTTGGTGCAACCACTTTTTTCTTGCTTTGGGCCCTGCTCCCTCCCTCTTTTACTTCAATGCACTCTAGTCTATGGTCATGAGTCATGACTATCGAAAAACTTACTCTCGATATTTACACCAAAGTAATATATCAATGTCAAGAGTTGAACAAGGTAGGGTTAAGATTGTGTAGACTCCACTTTTGAGATTACATAGAAAAAAGAAATGTTTTTTTAGTTTTCCATAGCTATGAATAGTATTTTGAGGTACAAAAGTTGTTGTCATGATGAAGCATTGAGTTATCATATCTACCAATTCGGTGGTACAATAGTCAAATTAAATACAAAAGGATGATGCAAATAGATATAAAGAAAGAGAAGAGTATCTAATATATCTAATAGAAAAAAGGAGACAACAACCATGCAAGTGTTTCCCCACACAAGAAGGGCCAAAAACAACACAATTCCCTTCTCATAGGGGCCCTACCACGTTTTAGCTTTTGCCAAACAGCTAGCAAAAGAGGATCTACCCTTTCATAATCAAACATCAACTCCACCTCAATCCGAAACAAGCTGGGTTCGGCTATATGAACTCTCATTGCACGCGCCGCTCAAACTCATTTCAGTCCAACATTATATAAAATAAAAATAAAAAATATCCGGAGAAGATCTTCCCCTTTACGTCAAAACAAATATATGTATAGATGCATTCACACTAAGATCGTCCCTAATGCACCTAACTAGGAGCCAGTTTGAGACCCTTTCAGTACCTGAAACCCTTTTTTATCCTGACAGTTGACAACTGGTGATAAGCTTTCCATTCATATTCTGATGACCTGAGATTGGAAAGAATGATTTTGTCTAAGATAGGATCCTCTTCTCATGTGGATGTTGCAATGGAGGTATTTGTTGTAGGATGTGTTTTAGGAAAACCAAATTCCTTGAACAAACCCTGAAGTATAAGACCAATTTAAAGATGAAACACAATTAGTCGAATACTCCTGGAAGAGTCTGGAACTAATTACATAGTTTAATGTAGCTGAGATAAAGCATACCATAGCATCATTGATTGCATATGTAACACAATAGTGCTCCTGCAATTGGGTTTTAAATTATTTTAAAAAAAAAAAACGAATGAAAAGGAGCATTATACAAGATAAATAAGGTATGCATTTTTTTATCAGTATAAAATGAAGAAATTTTCCCTAGCATATAAGTATGCACTTTTTTATCAGTATAAAATAAAGTAGCATTTTCCCCATCTTTTTTAGTCATTCAAATACTCCCTCAAGTCCTTTCTTACTTAACCTACTACCTTTTTTGTCGATACCAATTTACTTCACCTCTTCTCATAGATCATAGATGCTAAAATTTTGCCAGATCCTACAGTCCAAACTACCACAACACTACTACTTTATATAGTTGCAGCTTTAATATAACATGTTTTCAACAAACAATACCAATTCTCGAAAACTTAAGCAGTTCTCTGAATTACTCCGACATGATGAAATATTCCACTTTGTTCTGTTTTTTTTTTGAAACTGAAGAGGAGAAGTTTTCACTTTGTTCTGTTTTTATTTTTTAATCTCCAATTTGTCGAACAGGGTCTACATGATGAAAGGAGTATCAATTTTTGTACTCTCATTCCCAAATTCTCTTGATATAATCCAACTATTTACAGGTTCCCAAGTTACATAATGCAAATATATTGCTGTGACAGATTAAGAACTTTTAATCAGTCAAAGTCACTTCACCAAAAGGTAGGTCAGCAAATGACATAAAAGGCAGTAAACCCATCTCGGATTTCTTTGTTTTGATTGGTAAAAGGAACTTTCAGATACTACATCACTTAACTTTGTTATGGAAAAACGTAATACAGAAAGGTTGTCTTAAGACTAAAGGAGAATATAGATGTAGGCAAATAAAAAATAAAAAAACAAAAGAAAGAGCAGCATCTTGATCCTTGAAAACATAAGGTCAAGAAAAGGCAAGCCTTGGGAAAGGGCCAATCAAAATAAAGCAGCCTGCATTTTGCCTCATGGCGTCTACATTATCTAGGGTTATAGATCGTAAATACAATATGAGGCCAAATGCCAGATATACTGGTCAGAAACTTGCGATACAAAAAAACAACAAAGCTGGAACAAAGTGCTCAACTTTCATGGTGGTATAGAATGCAAGCACACTGAAATATATTTTGCAGTCAAAAGCAGAAGAGTAATAGAAACTTACCTGCATCATATACCACTCTTCAAATTCATCAAATATTTCCAATCTTTCAATCCTGTCCAGAAAATTACATGCAAATATTTGAGGACTGAAACATTTTTTTTTTTTGTGTGTGTGTGTTGTGGGGGGGGGGGGGGGGGAGCACAAAGTAGATAAAGTGAAGGTGCACACAGGAAAAAGAGGAATCAGCCTTTATCCTGGGAAAAGGATATATCAGAATCTAAAAAAGGTAAAAATATATTTTATGAAACCCAAAGTAGCTTTTATAAAATAGAAAGTTTTTCAAGATATGAAAGCTTCTATTTTGTTTCGTAGGGAAAAAAGCATATTTTGTTTGTTGTAAAGACACAAAAAAATAACAGACAATCATATATGAGACCAAAATGTTAGCATCAGATCAGCCTAAAAATATATGATGTTCTCTTAAATGAGTCTCTTATATATTCTTAAAATTGTGATTTGTTTTTCTGCGACAAGGTAATCACTTTTTACCAGCGCAGAATCATGAAGGACAAAGTGGACAGTACAAATATAAGGAGTTATATCCCTCTACCAAAAGTCTAGGTGAACTTTATCAAATCACTTGGCACAATATTTACAAATTCAAACCAACACCAAAATGCAAGAGATCCCATGATACTAATATTTGAACTCCAACTTTTGAGTAGGACTATGAACTCTTAAAAACATCTTAAATTCTATCGCTCTGCAATGTCCCAATGGATGGTGTACCAAACCTTGTTATTTCGTCCTTCTGTTGAGACCACCTGAGGTCTACAAGAGAGTGAGTGAGTCGCGGGAAAAGCTAGAGAGATAGGTAAATAGCGACCCAGGATATGAAGATGCCACGTGCACCATTACCTTTAGTGTACAATGTCACACGCCATATGTAGAGTCAGAGTAGGGATATGTATTTGGTCATTTTGTTCCATTTTAGGTTCATTCAGTTAAGTTTTTTTTGCTTGAATTTGGGTTAAGTTTTGTTTGGTTTATATAGTTTTTGATTCCTCCTAGATAGATAAACCAACCGTCCAACAGTAATGAGTTAAATTTGATATTTTGTTGGATTTCTTTCATTATGATAGGTGTACTATTGTACATTCACAAGCTAATGGTCACATATGCGGAGAGGCGTGTAAGAGCTTGTTTGGATTTACTTATTTGAAGTGCTTTTTAGCCAAAATAGTTTTTAAGCACAATTGGGGTGTTTGGGTAGATTAAAAAAGTGCATATAAGCACTTGACTTTAAGCTAAAATGATAAAAAATAAGAATTCTAACTTATGGCTTTTGGCTTATAAGTCAAAAATAAAAGTGAATCCAAATAGGCTCTAAGACTGAGAAGTGAAGAATTTCACACTTCGAAAGTTAGATTTAGCCACATAGTGCTTGAATTAAATTCGAGTTTGTGGATAATTAGGAGGGTACAAAAGGGTTAAGAGCACAAGGGAAAATATAATCTCTTGTAAAATAAAATAAAAAACTGACACATTGGAGCAACGATAAAATTGTCTCCACGTGACTTATGCCTCACGGGTTCAAGCGGTGCAGTCAGCCATTGATGTTTGCGTCAGTGTAGACTGTTTACATTACATCCCCTTAGGATGTGGCCCTTCCCCGGACTCTGCGTGAATGTTGGACGCTTCGTGCACCGGACTGCTCTTTTTAACACATTGACCGAATAAACAGGAACGAAAAAGAGATTAAAAGGGAAGGACTATATTAGTGCAAGGTTGAACAAGAAAAACAATACGAGTAAATATAAAACGAAAAAGAAAAAGTTTTTGAATTATAAGAGTCTAAAATCTGAAGTTTTGTTGGGTTTGTTATGAAGTTAGACTTTGGCAATTTTCCAGATTAGCTTCGGTTTTCCATATTAATAGACAATTGTGTGATAAAATAAATGATTTTGGGTGGTTTTGAAACCAAAAACTATTGTATTCCAAAGGTGAAAAAGTAATGATTCATTCCCAAAGAGATTAAATCACTGGGGTTCATTGGAGGAAATTCCAAAGCGCCTTGGGAGGCTCCTTGATTCAGTGCACATGCCTAACTCTTCTGATTGGAGGTGCCACTTTGGCTAAATAAATGTGTTACATTTAAATGCAACTAAGCAGGCGGGTGCCGGTGAACACTTAGCTAATTAGGTGTCTCGGCCTCTGGAGTCTGGAGATAGGCAACACAAGTACTACTGTAAAATAGACAAGAACGGGAATGGAGACCAGAACCATTGTATGATTAGAGCTCAAGCATAAAGCTATAGAACTTAATAAGAATTATTGATGACAGGTTGCATTAAAAAGTAGCAACAAAAAGTTTCAGGAATGTCCAAAAGTCTTGGACCTTGAAGAATCGTAATGGTGGAATGAGGAGGTGCAAAGAGTTGTTAAAACAAAAAGTGAGAAGTATAGGAAGTTACCGAAAGCAGAAGATGGTGAAACCTTTGAAGAGTACAAGAAATCTCAGAGAGGCTAAAAAGGCAATTTGCAAAGCCTACAGTAAAGAGTACGATGACTTGTATCAAATTTAGGGACACGTGAGGAAGAGAAAGAAACGTATAAATAGCAAAAAATGAGAGACTTAAAAGTAGAACTAAACTAGATTAAGCATCTTAAAAGATGACTGCCGACAAGTACCATAAGGGAGTGCTCTAGCATTCGAGAGACGGAGATAACTTTGGGAACCAAGGTTGACACATAGCAGTACAATGAGTTCTTCTCATCTACCTAGGTCTTGTTGGACAGATTTATCGAGTACTTGTGATGGTGGAAGGTATAAACTACCCAGTCAACAAGTTAAGCCAGATTGCCGTACAAAAGGGTAGTTGCCAACAAGTTTTTAGATGATAGGGAGATCAAAGAGAGAGGAGATGCATTTTTGATCATTTTTTTTCAACTTAAATCATGAGAATAACTTAGCAGATCTTAATAAATCACTAATTGATAATATAGAAGATGAGTTTCCATACATGTTATTTGCAAATGATATTATATTAATTGACGAAACTGCACAATAGTCAAACAAAGGCTAGAATTATGAAATGCACTCTAGAGAGTAACAGTTTTTGTACAAGTAGAAGCAAGACAAAATATATGCACAATAAATTGAGCCTCAAGAAGAATGAAGTTAAAGTCAGATAATATGGAACGATGGTGTCTCATATATAGACTCAGTATTTTCCAGAAAAGCGATATGATAGATGAAAAGTTAATATATAAACAGAGTGCTATAAGAGTATGTGGCGATAGGAAGATATCTATCCAGTTGAAAAATAACTTCTATAAAACAACTGCGAGACTAAAAGACAACCAGCCTGTACATATAGATTGGTCAAGTGCCCAAGCATGTTACCTAGAGCCTAACACATGCAACAAATTAAAACATTTACAGTGACGCTAGCATGTGAGGACCTTTTTATAATTTGTTTCTTATTTTATTTTACTTATTTGATTTTTAGTGGGTGAGCGAGACAGGAGCAAAACAAGACTTATAAACCTCTGGGGCTCTGACTGAAACATGGACATTTTGGCAGCTTAATATGGCCATTAAAGACAGCAATCTACTCTAGAATGTAGTTCATGATCATCATCTTCAGATGAATCATATCATTCCCATCATCTTCAGATGAATCATATCATTCCCATGTTTACATATATCAATCTACAAGAGCAATGAAAGCTAATACTAACCTGCGTCTTTCTTGAGCTTCAATAAAATCACTATAAACCTGTAGCATGTCCCAAGCAACTGCTTTCTGCAACCAATCAATAGCAAACCATTAGTTATGAATTCATGTGTGCTTTATCATAGCAAATAAATTAACTAGAGCTGAACCACTGTTAAGTATTCAACGACTGTACAGTTCAAATTATCAGTAACTGGAAATAGGGAGTGAAAACTTGAGCCTACAACTAATGCAAGTTCAGAAGCAGCCAATGCATGCTCTTTTGCTTGGGGAGAGAGTGGATCAGCCTATAGTTTATTTGCAATGCCACTGTAAATGATTCACTATCTCCCCATTTTCTTTGCAAAAGAAGCACCAGCTGCACAGATTAAAACCCCTTCTTTGCACATTTTCCTGTGACAGTCTGACAGACTTCATGCGTTGCAATCCAACCAAAGCTAGCAATTTTGCTTGGGGCTTCAGTCTTCTGAATAATTTTCCAGGGCTACACACCTCTATTCTCTTCCAGATCATTCTTTACAAATAGCAATGAACTTAATATAATTCTCTTCTAAGCTTTAAGACCTTCAGCGAAAAAAGGCCAGCTTCAGCTGAAAAGTATATAATCTACCATCCCTGATTACAGAATATGAGGTGACAAGGCAAATGGTTGGAAATACAGTAGGTCTGTATAAAAACTAAAATAAACATCCTACACTTGGAAATGAAGGAACAGGTTATAGGACTAATACAAGCTCTTAACGAGGTTATAGACCTAATACAAGCTCTTAACATGTGTGTGTGTGTGTGTGTGTGCTGAGAAAAGGGTATGGTGATTTAATATCTAAGGATTAAGAAGCAGTTTTGCAAATTGGAAATACCTGCCATCCTTGATCAAGAAAAAGATTTTCTTTCTCTTGTAAAGTTGGTGTAGCATATATTCCTAATAGTCCGCAACCTCGGCTCTGAAAAGGGAAGAAAGACATTATAATTCTATTCCACAGACACATCAAAGAAAAAATCATTTCAAGGATTGAATTTATAAAAACTAGTCAGTGCAGAAGAGCAGAGATCATGCAACGTACATAAGATTTTTATAAATTGTCTAAACCCAGATCACACGCTTCCATCAGACTTTGGAACTTCAGAGAAGCCTTTTTTTTTAATAACTGTGTTGGTTGGGCCAGCTTGTGCGCACCTCGACTAATTCCATGGGATACCTCCCACCTGTAACAGGTACTTGGTAACGCTTGCCACTTAGGCTTAGACATGGGAAGAAATCACCTAGTGTTTCCGTCTCTGCTGGGATTTGGACATGAGACCTCATGGTTCTCCTTCCAGAAGGCAATTGAATCAGTATTTATCAAGTTTCATGTATTTCTCTTTGAGTGAAGGGTAGGACAAGTAGAGGCAAGAAAAACTTGATGCTAGATAAGGTGATGAACCCATACATTGCACAGATGATTTACGGAGCTTAATTACTAAGCGCAGATATCACAACTTCACAAGTTATCCCTGATGGAACTTCAAGTGGAATGCTTTATCTTTCAATACCTACCCCTCAATAGGATTACTATACACCACATGAATTTCACGAATAAATTCATGCTTCCATAGAAGAAAAAATCATGCTATCATTGGTAATCGCATCTGAATCTCTCCTGACTAATAAAATTGCACAGAAGCAACTCTGCTCCAACTAATAGCTTTAATATTTCAGAAAAGAAGATCCCTTAGCTAGGAGGTTGTGGAGGACACGGACTAGGGTGGAAGTTTAGTAGGTAGTATAGCATTGTCTTGCTTATCTTTCATACCAGTACACAGTAGTCGTAGTATTTCCTTCTATCGCAAAGCTAAAATAAACGATATGTGTCTCCCATAGACACCAGTTTTATTAGAGGTTATAATAATTTTAACAATTAATATAGGCCATCAATGAACATAGTTAATCCTTCTTACTTCCTCAGAATATAAACTTTTAGCAACTCAACAGTATGATGCATACTTGGTTCCCTTTTATATAAACATAGATAGAAATGGTGGAAAAAACTTATACATGACACAATTTATTAAAGTGTAGGACCTTAACAGCCACGTTGTATTAACTAAACTATGCATATGTGAGTTTTGGAAAGCATATCCATTCCTGAGTCAAGATAAAGAAAGAGAGTTGTGGTAGGTTCACTGCCTGCATAAGAAAATCTAACTATGATGAATCCTATAGATGCTAAATTTTTCAAAACGTGCCCACCTGAATAGTGAAATGGATACAAGTCTTCATATTACCTACCCGACTAATTTGGGATTTAAATTTTGAGTGCAGTTGATAAATTGATTAATAGGAAGTTGTATTAACTACATAGCAGGGAAGAAGAAAAACCAGAGAAAGGGAACAAGTATTCAGAAAACGCCCAGGCCTGTCATGAAAAGCATAATAAAACATCTGCAGAACTACCTTTTATGGTTAGTTTAACAAAAGTTTGGCATACTGAGAATTTTAGTAGAGCAAGACTAAAATCATCCAATTACAGTCAGCAGAAATATCAATTATCTTTTAAAGGAGGGGAAACTGGACTCTGTAACAAAGAAGCTCCTTATTCATATAAGGGCACCCGGCACCCATGAGGGACAGTCCACAATGATATATCTTCTTTGACTTTGTATCTCTCCAACAAGACATTGGTTTTAAAGCAACAGAAACTCTTTCAACTTTTGAAGGACTCGCTTTACAGGCACCACGTTGTCCTTGTTCTAGTCAACATCTATGTCACTTGAAATTACTCACCATAATGTAACTTCTGGTGCTTTAAACATGGGAAGATAAAGGGCTACATAAACACGCTAATTCATGAAAGCATCTTACACTGTTACAAGACAAAGATATGTGTTATCCCTAAAATTTATGCTCAATCATCAAAAAGATAATCAGTAAAAATACCTCCAAATTCCGAATCATTTGCTGACCGAAAGCATCATCTGGGTGGATCTGTCAATAAGCCACATAATAAGCAAGCAAGTCATTACAATACATCAGCAAGGTATCCACAGTACCTTGGGACAGGATAGCATTAGAACTCAAGTTAAAAGGATGAAGGGAGGGATCAAGCCTATAAAAGAATACAAGATTTAACTTAATAGCATCCACAACCTGCTCATACAAGAAAAAAATTGATGTGGAAAAGGTTCTTGAAGCCCATCCAACAATAGCACGGCTTGAATCAGGATCCAAATATATAAGAACGCATTCTGCAATTATAAATGTTGGCAAACTGATGATAACATCAGCATGTGCAGTTAACCCTAATCAGGTAAGAACTTGGACATGTATAAATGATCAATCTTTCCAGAACATGGGAAACAGAAAAGAGAGCAAGATAGTCCTAAATTTGCAAAGAGGAGAAATAAAAGAAGACAATGAAAGCAGTAGTGTAGACAGCAAACACCTAACAGTCAATTAATCAAGTAAAAAAGCAACCACAAAAAGTTTGTTGCTAGTCCTATCACTGATATGCTTTCAATTGTCCAATACATGCTATTAACTACTACATTCCAACTCAATTTTGGAAAGTTGGACTAATATCAGCATTATTGTATATTGGATGTTGAAATTAGTTAATTAGTGTAGTACTAAATTCCTATGTGTTTTGCTATATTTAAATTTTCTGTAATTGTGCGTTTTAGTTCAAATAAGTGTGCACTTCACTCTGTTTTTACTTCAAGCTCCATGGACTTTACTCCTTTTATGCATTTTTTACTTCTAAAAACACTGATCACTAGACTGATACATTTACATGGATCAAATTCACCATAATAATACATACCATTATAAGAGAGGTTAAGTTAGAGGTAGTTATTCATGACTCTCTAAGCTTGACAAAGACCTAATACATAAGATCACCTATGCTGCATTTCTGGAGATTAATGACAAAATTGTTTTAAGAAAAAATAATAGGGAAGCAATGACATACCTTGGGTCTAAATTTGCTTGGGCTATAATATCATTCAAATTTTCTATGTTGCGCAAATCTACAGGCAGCAATTTGTAATGATCACTATGGACTTCCCCCTTTTCTGCATGAAAGCATGAGATAAGTTAGTTGTGCTAGATATTAGTTTATTCTAGCTTTTGCAGAGAAGAAATGTCCAAGAAATTGCACTAAGCATTTAAAATCAGAGTCCAAGCCTCATTTGTTTGCACTTAATAAAGGTATTAATCTTAATCATTCAGATTTCAGTCATTAAGTTTGTTTGCCCCCAAGGCCTAGCTCAAGTGGCAAAAGGTGGAGGATTTGTGGCTTACGTTGCAAGTTCAAGCCCCACACCATGCAAAGCGAAGCCCGGTATTTAAGTGGAGAAGGGTAGAGGGGTGGGTCCATTATCCACCGAGTTTAGAAGCCTGTGATTGGTCCAAAGGGCGGGTCACAGACGGATTTCTCGGCAAAAAAAAAAAAAAAGATTTCAAGGTCGGAATCTTAATCATTAAGTGTGTTTGTTTGCCTCATTCCTGAAGATATGACTAAACAATTTAATATTTCACTGTTGTCATTCATGCTTATAATTATCAGTCCATAATTTATATTTATATTATTTTTTCTCCCTTTGTGCCTTTTTTCATTAAAGTTCACGCTTTATTTGCATTTTGCGCTTAAATCCCCAACGGACCTTAAAGATTTTTTGCGCTTTTTGCTTTTCATAACACTAATTGATTAAATACTTGACCTATCCATCTTACGTTCCAAAATCGGGGTACTTGTTAGGGAAATGCATCAAATGTTTGCCATGTAAATGAAATGCAGGGGTCACCAAATTGAATCCAAAAGAGGAGAGCATTCACAACTTTGCAAGATGAACGGGTCCATTACCTGAGGATATTGATGCTGTTTCACCAACTTTATCCCTTAACTGACTGTAGGTTTCAATAAGAGCTGCCTTCTTACTTGTTACCTGTAAGACAAATATATAGAGAGCTGAGTTCTTTAGTTGAGCCAATAATTTGCCAAAAGGCAAAGGATGTTGTAGCCACATAAAAATATAAAACAGACCTCATTTGTGATATAGTATAATAACAAACTTTCAACAAACTCGGGGGACTTAAAATTTGAAAATCTCACCTCAATGAAATCCAGTTCCACGTAAAGATGAGGAGCTTTTCCTTCATCCTGGCAAAGACAAATCTAACTATTACTTCTTCTTCCTGGGGGAAGGAACCAGTAACCATCCAGCGTATATTAATTATATTGGAGAACTACATTTAGGGAGCAGTATCAGATAAATCTTAATATAAAGCAATACTCCGCTTTCATAACGTGTCAACCAAGTTCAACAAAACTTGCAGATAGCAAAACCAGACACTCAAATTTCTATGTACAGTAACCCGTCTGAGCATCACTAATGAATTGCTCTTAACTTCCATTTTCTCTTGACAACTTTATTTAAGGGTCCCTAGACAGGGAAAAATATTGATACATATGAATAGAACTGTAAACAAGAGCATTGTAACTGCAATTAGATGCATACTGTCAGCTTGGCATAGTCCCAACTCCCAAACTAGTTGGGGTCAGCCATAAGATGGGCTACAAAAAGAAAAACATATATTTTAAAAAAAAAACAAAAGGTGAAATCTTAGCATAGCTTGCGTAAAATTTTCAATTATTGTGGAAGATATGAAAAAAATCCGCAAGAAAACTGAAGCACCTGCAACTGAAAGAACATCGTGTCGAAGCCAGCTCCAAGTGACAATATCTGCTTCCTGATATTTCCATTTCCATCAGCATTCGGCTCACAATCAAGAAATTGATTGAGCATCTTTCGAAGAGCAGCCCAGCGGGCAAAATAACCTAACCATTAAGTAGCATATCAACAAAAACAACCCCAACTAATAAACACTAAGCACATCACCACCGTGAATTAAGAAGCCAAAAAAGAGATACTATACCACGGTTAATAATCGGAGCTCGCCTCAGCTGCTTTTTAACAAACAGATGAACATAATCATCTTTCATATATCCTTTTTTCACGCACGACCTTCAAAATCACACAAAATATTTAAAAAAATTAATTAGATTCAGTTTTCACATCAATTTCCGACGTAAATTGTAGATTCACAGCTATGCTCCGAAATTAACATTATTTACACTCACAACTTTATGTAATCTCCAAATTATGTCTAGAAAATTAACAAAGGGGAATTGAAGAGTTGAAGAAAAGGGCGTACATACAGTTTACTGGCGGAAGCGTCGTCGTTGGTGGCTTGAACGGCGGCTCTGTTGCTGCGCGAATCGGCAACCGGTTTCGCCATTCTCTTGGCCAAGTTTTGATACTCTCTGAAACAGAGCTTTGAAAATGGGGAACAGAATTTGGGCGGAGGATTTGATCCTTGTACTTACTCGTTATTACTTTTTCATTCACAATAGATTATGTTATGACCATTGTAGTCCTCACTTTTTCTTTGTCAATGTTATTTCAGAATGTTTTGGATTGTGGTGCAACGGTGAAATTGTTTTATTTTTAATCAAAGATCTCACGTTTGAATTCGTCTCAATACGACTATCGAATTCTAGATGTAAACTTAAAAAAAAATAGTACACATTTATTTTAGGGCATGTTAGATCCTAAAAAACATGTCGAATAAAGAAAAGAAATTCTTTAGTACAAACAAATTCTTACTTGATATTTTTCTTTTTGTATATAGTTTTTCTATTTAAATTTACAAGTTTTATTTTAATTGGAAGTGGAATATGATTAATTTGCGCTATGGGTCAGGGTTGGATGGGTCGTAATTTATTGTCATATTATTTATTATTATTTATTATTATATATAAAGGTGAAGAGAGGACGATCACTGGCACTTCAGTAAATATGACTTAATATAAGAGCAAAATGGTAATTGTGTCATAAGATTAAAGTGCAATCTAGAACTTTCTAGAAGTATAGTCTAAAAGTATCCGTTTCTCTTTCTCCTCCCAAGAGAACAATTAAACAGAGGCCAAGAACTTGTAGAACTCCACGAAAAATAAGAACTTTATCTTTGTCTTCTCCTCATTCTTGTGACGTTAGGTATGCTTTCCATTCCATTTTCTTGCTCTTTTCGTTTTACTTTCACTCTTTAATTGATCTCTTTACTAGCATAACTGCCTCAATTAAAATATCAAGGGACATTAGCTAGCATTATCAAATACTCCTCAAACACCTTAATGGTATTCTTCCTATAATGTGAATGAACCAACACAAATATTCCATCCGAATAGTCTAACCTATTCATGGAATCAATTGAAGCGGCTAACATGACAACAACAATGTAGACCAGCTAATACATTCCCATCCTGTTAAGCATAGTGAACATTGACACACAGTAGGTACAAAAGACATAACAATTTCATCTTCTATAATAGATTTTTGCAACAAACAATCTATATAGTTGTCCCAAATATTTTTCATCGAAACAAATATTTCTCAATCATTTTATTTTCACATGCGTCTCTCTGTCGACTTTATCTGTAAATATGCAACTCGAGTTTATCAACACAAATGTACCTTAATTAACGGAGACTTTAACAATTATCACCAGTGTCAGCTACGTATTGACAAATTTAATGTTAAATTGTTTTATCACCAAGTCAGATTAAGTTTTTAATCATCCAGAAAACTTCGAAATGGAAAATCTAAATCTGAGATCCAAGCTTCAAAAATGGTGGATTTCGAAGATTTCCACCAAAGAAATTTTGATTTGACGTGTAAATGCCACACCAAATCCAATTTTCAGCTTCCAATATCATCTTCGGAGGTTCTAACATTAGAGTCTCGAAATGCCTATCAACTCAGAGTTTTTCTGTTGAGTTGCTACTGAGTAATTTTCTAAGGTACACTAATTTAGCTATGTATAAGTTTGATAGTGTTTATACTCTTTATCTTTATCTTTATCTTTTTACTTCTCTTATGTTTGCACAGAGATGATAAATGATTTATACAGAGTCATGGGTATGTAAAAAAACTTAACTACTTAATGTTGAGAGTTGACCATATTGTATTTTAAAATTCTACAAGCAGCTTATTATTCTGCATAATATACACATGTACTTATTGTTGTGCGGAGATTGTGACAGTTTCCTATAAAAGAGAGAGATTATCTTTTGTTGCTCAGTCAACTACATATATCGAGAGATTTCATGATTTCATGTATGTATAAGTTATAATGTTCACAATATGAAAATTTTGATGTATTTCAATTGTAATATATTTGTGTTATGTGTATAAGAACACATCGGCACTTGATTAAAAGCTTGCAGGATTCACATTGCATCGTCTTTGAGAAATCTTATCGTATTATATATATTTATACAAGATTCACTACCTTTTTTTTTTTTTTTTTTTTACTGTGAGAGAAATATGACAATAAAAGAAAAACAGGTATCTTAGCTTGCAGGTCTCTTGGATATGCTCTAGTTCCACCGTCTTATAGTCAAGTGGCCAGTTCTGCCAATGTGCTCTCGGGTGGGGAACGGGCATTGAATAAATAATTATTGCATATGTGCCCTTTGCTCAATATCCACAATTTGTTTTCTCCTTTTTCAATATCCAAGTGCTAACAACCTTGGTATTCCAAAGGCTCAACTTGAGGCCCATGAGATATCTTTACGGCAACAAATTGAGGTATTAAAGTTTCTAACCTAATTGATATCTTTATTTATTATGCATCTATTATACATTATAGTCAAAACCTATGCAATAACTGTAGTTGAAATTCTTTCATTTTCCTGAGAAAATTTAGTTCGACGATTGGAGTTGAGGACCGTAATGTGTTTGTTAGTTGAGTGGTTGTTAGTATAGAGGTATCAGAGTGGTGTTAATTCTAAAAATCGATCAGTGTTGCTTCCTATATAAAAGTTGCATCGATAGATGTCTCTATCAGTAGTTGCAGGTGCATATATAGCTGCTAGTACACCTGAAAGAGTACAAAATTGTGAACTGAAAGATGATTTTTAGTAGTCAAAATAGGACTACGTTTATCAGAAACAAAAGGTGGATTTATCTATTATCAATTCAGGTAAGAGGAGGGCAAAAGGGATAGGAACCCTTTTATTTTCTCATGATGAAATTCTATCCACTCGTGTGAATATGATTATTATATTTTCCGTCTCATTACTTATTTAATAGTAGCTATTATGTTGCAATTTTTGAACTTAAAGAGGCATTAAAAAGATTAGAAGTAAATATTTTAAAAAATAATTCTCTATATTTCAGAGCTTTTAAGATATATAAAGATAGCTTTGGGTCTTTTGAAATTTAATGATAAGAGTAGTAGTTGAGGGTAGGAAAGGGATGGGGAGGTAAGGCAGAAAAAAAGGATAATAAAAGGGACCTTAACTTTGAAAACTCAAATGAGAAGCAAGGAAAGCACAAACTAACTAATGTCAGGGTCGGAGATAGAGAGTGATGAAGAGCGAAGAGGAACTCGGTAGCTTGCTCCAAACAAGTTTCAGAGATGTAGAAGCCAAAGGCAACTCTCAGGCCATTTGGGTGAACACAAATAGTTTGTTATTATCTTATGATCACTTAACTTACTCCTTGAAATATTTCTGCGAGTGATACTCTTAATTTATAGCAGGAGCAACCTGAGCCCCTTTAACTACTCCTCGAGACTATTTCACAAAATTTACGTGTGGGTTTATCTACTAATTAAGAAAAGGATTTTGATGAACTTGTAAATTGGCTGATATTTTATACTTGTACATGAAATGTAAACTTTTCACACTATTTCATTAGAGTAATGCTAATATATATCAGTATTTACTATTAATCTATGTCTCCAATGAACTTGTAATGACATTTTCAATTACCCCTTTCTTTAGCATTTTGACACAAACACCATGTAGTTTAACTTTATGATTAAGAAATGAAAGTATTCCATAGAGGTGCACTTCTGGTCATGGTCATGTATTATGTCAAAGTCATTTAACCTACAAGATGAAAATAGATGAGTGTTTTCCTTAATCTCGATTAATGTCTCTGATTTCAGGACAACACCATTAATAAACCTAAAAAGATATCACCCTTGATTCTCTCTTGATTTAGTAAAAGATGGTTCATCTGCTAAGTCTATTTTAGTAAAGAACAATAAACCTTGCCCAAATATTCATCTTATTTATAGCTCACTCAATTGTTGAATCAAGAATTTGGATTATATTTTTTATCATATTTACGTGTGTTTTGCAGGTTCATTATAGAAAACAAGTTCAAGCTCTCTTTCTCCTATATAAACTAACTGCAAGGAATCATATTGTTACAATATGTTTTGTCGTGCAATCTATGCTAAACTCCTTCCAGTTTCTATGAATTCTTCCAAAGTAAGTAGAGTTATTGTCATTCTCTTATCTTTATTATATTATAAACATACAACAAGAGGCCCTTTCTGATTTTCACGTATCAATGTTGCTCATCTTTGTTTCGCCCTTAAAAGCAAGGTTAAAATGAATTTCAAAATGATAAGTCAGCAATTCCCTACTCTATGTATAGTGGGATGGGGCACAGAAAAGAAAAATGTGTATGATAACCGATGATGTTAGACTTTTGTAATATTAAAATCAGATGCACATCTGAATAAACTATGATCCTGATGTTATGGGGATGACAAATAATGCCATTGTAGCTGATTGTTGAGTTTTTACTTTTTGAGAATGCTGGTGAGACATTCCAAGCAGGAGTCATGTATCTGCAAGAAATTGGTGTTGAAGAATCTTTTCTGTAGAATCATTTGTGTCAAAAAAAGACCATCATGTTGCATGGTACCATTAAAAATTGATCAACAAGACTACACTAAAGGCTGCATACAAGTCATTCTTCACATCAGATCAACAACCAAATTATAAAAATGTATTCTCACAAAGTTTTATAAAGAGATAAGAATGAAGTATATATATATATATATATATATTATCTTATTATAAGAAAATGGAGTGTGTACTATTGTTCTTATTTTTTGAACGAAAAAGGAAAACAGAGCGAAGAAGGAGAGGTCAGGGACTTGTTATTGTGATTGTTATGGCACAATTGAGATTAGTAAATTTGCAAGATCTCAAAAAAAAGAGCAAGTTGGTGACCAAAGTTGGCAATAGCAGTTTGAGTCTCACCATTTAATGTACTTTTACTAAACAAACAAAAACAATGTAACTTTAGAAAACACTTCATTAATATGTTATCCATGTCAACATTTCTATTTGTTGCTCTTTTCTATTCTTATGTGGGTTCTTTTCTTCTTATGTGAGGATATTGACTTATTGGATGGAGAAGACTCAGCATAGAAAATATCAACTTTTGATTTTGTCAAATAAAATTTGTGACTTAACTTATTGTGAGGATTTACATTGCAGATTTGCTTGGCTTGGTATGAATGCATCGTAATATGTACAATAACCATTCCCAATATATTTCTGCAAAGCTTGACAATGTTCCTACCAACATTATTTAAAATGATAGTGTACCTCGGTTGTTTTTGTCAATAAATGACGGAAGCTATGCTTTTTAAATTATGATTATTCAGAAATATTTATTACTATTTCAGATCTCAATCATATTCTAAGAAAGATTTAGACAAATAAAATTATATAGAATTTAAAATGTTGGGCCCGTGCTAAGCACGGGCAAGAACCATCTAGTGAATTGAGAAATGGAAAAAATTATACTCAATAAATAAAAAAAATATATTTCATACTTTGTTGTCTAGATATTTATATAATGGCTTTTGAAGTATAGATATAAATAAAATTGGGTGACCTTCTTGTTACGAAAGAAAAATAAAATGTTAGATAATTATCAATAATTAAGTGACCTTCTGAGTTAGTATTATTTTATTTTCATAGAATAGCTCTATTTTTTGTTTTGTTTACATGCTTTGATTAGGCTTAGTAGTAAAAAATGTCAACTATTTTTAGATCATATAACTCGTGATATAAAACTAAATGACTTATATATATTTAGAATGCCAATTTTTTTAAACACTATTTAAAGGTTAGTTATTTTATTTTAAACTATCAATATTCTTAGGAGTACTTAACATTCACTAGTTGATTAATAAATTCATACTTTTCAGATGTTTCATATGAGCACTATTAAAATGTACAATTATGAGACTGAAAGTTTAATCCGATCGAATTATTATATGATAAAAGTAGAAAAAACGAATTTTTCAAAAGTAGAATGACTAATAATATTTATGATGAAAATAATAAAATAATGTCTCGAATATTATTTTTTTAAAATTGACATTGGATCACTTGATATTCTATGCAGGTATGAATTTTCTTTGTTACTTGGAGTGGACTATCGAAGTTTTAAAAAGGCATAACACAAACAACTCAGCCTTTTAGAATGATTATGCAAAAGATATTAATATCATATAGATGGTAATAAACAAAATTTAAAAAATATTCTATTTATTTTTTTAAGAGATCAATGGATCTTAATTCTTCAATTGTTTAAATGTTTTCTCCAATAATAATTATGATATAACTATTGATTAAAACAATACAAATTTCAAATAAAAAGTTTTTTTAATATTAGAACATTTTTATCTACCTATCTTTGTTTACATTTAAAGTAATAATTTGTGCTTAATTAGTTACTACCAAATTGACTATAATTTACGTCTACAAATATACTATAAAACTAATAAGAGAATTTGAATACGACGATATATACCCTACAAACAATAAGTAAAATTAGTCAAATCGATCACTTAGTTTGTCGTAATGGTGAGAATTATTTACAAATCGTAAATTTGAAATATACATTATAGATATAATATTTTTGGATATAGAAATCTCAAAATTAGGCATAGATGTGCAACACCCGTGCAATGAATCTAGTACTACGTTAAAAGTGAAAACTCCTTAAATTAAAAATTAAATTACTAATTTACAACATCTTTACCCTTAAAGCCCTAATATCTATAATAAACTCACTATCTATTCGCAAAATTACTAATTTACCTCATCTTTACCCTTAAAGCCCTAATATCTATAATAAACTCACTATCTATTCGCAAAATTCTGAAGAGTCGCAAGAGCCATCTTCAGTGCTCTTCAAATGCTACACCAGCCCCAACAACTACAAATACCCAAGGGAGTTCGAACCCGAGACCTATTGATTAAGGATAAAAAGTACTTACCACTCCACCACAATCCTTGGTGGTAATATACTTTTTAATTATTACGCTTTAAAATAGTTTAGATTTTGAGATGGATACTCGCCATTACATGACTTGTCAAATTTTTTAAGAGTTTTTAATGTCTATTTTATTTTACCATGTAATTATTATCCATACTCTCAGGTATCAAATATATTTGAACTTTGACCAAAATTGTTGTAACAATACCGAACTTTGGAAATGACCTTTTACCCCTGCACTATTTAATAGTGTATTTTAAAGGGAAAATTGTATGAAATAGCAAACTATTAATTCAAATTAAATGATATAGCCATAGTTTATTTTAATTGTAATTCGCAACAAACATCCCCTTTTTTTGCCATCTGATTCGGTATACAATTAACCATTTTCAGTATACAATTAGTCCTTTTATACATTTCGGTAAAAAATGTATAAAATGTGTTTGTGTTTGTATAAAACGAGAGAAAGGTGTATTTACAAATACAAATACAAATACATATATTTTCGTCCTATACATTTATAATTATACAAATACAAATTTTATTATACAAATTACAATGTATAAATGAATTTATACTAAACTGAACAATTTGTATAAAATTTGATGTTTCTAGCAAATTATACAAATCAAAGCTCCATAACAACCATAAGATTTGCTATGGAGCGCAATTATGCAAACTATAGCTATAATATACAAATATGATTTTTATATTTGCTATATGTGAAACTTGTTATATTTTAAAGGTATATATGTGTCACGTGGACATCATAAATATTGCATCATTATAAATAGTAACGTGTCCACGTGGGCATATATATACCTTTAAAATACACTATTAAATAGTGCAGGGGTAAAAGGTCCTCCATAAAGTTTGGTATCGTAACAACAATTTCGGCCAAAGTTAAAGTATTTTTTAGATTTTTTCCCCATTTTTTAAAAAAGGAACTCTTTATATAAAACTCTTTAATAGTTTAGATATATTTTACCATGTAAATATAGTTCAGATATATTTCAGGCCTATTATCAAGTTCAGAAAATTAAAATAGGCCAAAAATCCAAATTTATAAAAAAATAAAATTAGTTAGGACAAATGCCTAATTATCATAAATGAAATAGCTCAATACTTAAACAAAGGATTCAATATATCATCGATATACAATTCAAAACAAAAGATGCTTTGATGAAATAAATGAAATTTATAATAAAAGACATGAATTTTATTTATAAAGCTCAAGAAAAGTTGATACAAGTTATTCATCATTACAAATTGTCAAGTGAAAAAAATAATAATATCTTACAATCGAAAAAGATTGAGAGAAGTGATTGTATCACATTTGCTAAGAGCTCATTGATGAGATTATCGTAGAATGCAACCCCCTCCTTGTTAACTTTTTTGCGTAACTCCCTATCTGATCGTATAAATACAAAATACTGATTTATTAATGAGTTAACATATAATAACTGATATTGTCATGTGAAATTAACCTAGAGCATACAACAAAGCGATTAAGATTAATTGTATGTTAATGTCAAAAATCTTTCTTGAGTATACATAATTTGATTATGAAGATATTCAATATGCTATTATCACATTAAATATATTGTTATTGAAACTCGTTAAAATGTTCATAAACATATATTGAAAGAGTCCCTTAAAAGTAAATCAAAAGTATAAAACGACCCGCGATGGGCTCATAGCATCATACCAAATCAGACAAGGACCCTTCTTCTCCGTGGGACTCCAAAATTTTACAGTTAAAAAAGCCCTCTTCTCTATTTGTTTTGTGATAATCTGTAATTCAGAATTCAGAAACCCTAATAATTTTCTTTGTCTATAAATGTTATTGAATCCCTGTGATTAATTATTGAATTCAAATTCATAGAGAGATGGATATCGAACAAAAGCAAGCGGAGCACATCGAGTTCTTTGTGAAACAAGCATCAGCACTCAAGGGTTCTGCCCTTACCAGTGTTATTGTTGAAGCCACTTCGCATCCATCACTCTTCGCTTTTTCAGAGATTCTTTCTGTTCCCAGCGTTCTTGAGGTTTCCATTCCTTCATATTACTATATCTATAATTGTTCTGATTTTATTTTTATCATAATTGGGTTAGTAGGTTCAATTTGTTTATTGTAATTTTCGTGTTTTCCCCTATACTGGGGTTCTAGGTATTTACCGTGAACATTGTGTTGTGGTTGTGTTATGCTATTGATTGGGCAATATCTGGAATATGATGTCATTCTAGGTATCTGTTTGTTGAGTCTTTCGGAAACAGCCTCTCTACCTTCGAGACCCTTCTCGAAGGTAGGGTAAGGTATGCGTACACTCTATGTGAGATTACATTGGGTTTGCTGTTGTTGTTGATGGCATTTTCCTGATAATTTGATTAGTGGATTTTCCTGTCACAATGGAAGTGCCTGCTTTAGGCGTAGTAGTTATTCTTGTGGTATGAGAAAAAAAGTTGGGGATTTCCTAAAAAAGGAAAGCTTTGAGTAAACTGGGATGGATTAATGACAACAATATTTTGCTAACGAGCTACAAACTCTTGCTCATTTAAAAGGCTGCACGCTGAATATTAAATAGTCTCTGTAGATGTTTTAAATCATGGATAAATAGATGCAAAGTTAGTATTTTATCTTATGATAACGTACTAGATGATTTTCAAAACACAAAAGGAATGAATATCAGGAAACACAACTACAATGGACTAAGATGCTACAAAAAATTTGAATGATTTTAAAAGAGGTTATAGAAGCGTAGTGGATGCAGTAGATTGATCATTAATGAGGAAATAACTTGGGTTCATCCTAGCAATTCCATCAATTTCAGAGCTTAAAACCCTAAGCATATTGAAATGGGTTTTATACTCGGGTTTTGATTCTCTTTAGAGTTCTTTTATGACAATTAGGTATACATCTGGGAATAAAGGGAAAAAGAAGTGCTTTTGGTAAGTCAGGTTAGACCATATCTGGAGTGGGCACTTTATTGTGGTATTTCTTGACTATAAATTGCACCTGTGATTCAATGTTGATTGTTGAATCATAAGATTAATGTTAGATTCATGCACCACAGACTTAGATTATAGTTGATTCTGCTGGAACATAAATCTAATTGTGAGATTTGAATCTTGAACCGTAAGTTTTTGAATAATATGGGCATAGAAAACATTTCTTTCAATGCAGGAGCACCTGAAAATTGCACCTTGATATACATTTTGCAAGTTGTGTAGTTAACTCCATATTGCTGTATATATACTTTAGGATCCCTTTCATATTTGTGGTTAATTGGTTTTTTGTTGGAACCTGTATGCAGCTTGAAGGAACTGAGAATTCAGTATACCTTGATTTGCTTCGTTTGTTTGCTCATGGGACGTGGAGTGACTACAAAAGTAAGCGTACATTTTTTACATCTGATTATTCAGAAGCATTTTTTTATTGTTGGGTGGGGTGGGTAGCTGATTGGATCTGATTTTCAAGTTTGAGATTTCAACAATGTTCTTTTATTGCCGTTATGTCAACTTATCTGCAATACTTCATTTACCATTCCTTCAGATTAAATGCCTTAAATTTTATAATATTGTGAACTTGTACCTTATCATTTTGAGGTATTTCTTTGAGACAAAATATGCTTTTGCTCATATGTATAATAACTTGACGATTCTTCTAATTGTTAATAGAGCGTTAGTGCAAATGAGGGTATCAATATTAAGTTTTAACTTCTCAAGTTTTGTATCTCCATAACTGAGTTCATTGCTGGCTGGGAAGTTAATAAGGCCATGGTTTAGGCCTCCTTTGTTTGCACTTTATGAGGTCTAGCTCTTCTTGAACTGGTATGATTCTAAATTTTCTTACAAAGTCGATCAACTTATTTGGTTGATGTGGATTTGTCTATCGTAGCAAGAATGGAATAAAATTTTTGTTCCACATAGCGGCCATATTATCAAGTAATAGTAGTGGATAGAATTACATTCTTCAAAAATATCTTCATTCACCATTTTCTCATCTATTTTGCTTATTAATTTATTTCTTTGTTTCTTTTTGGCTCAGGTATATAGGACATAACACTACAAATATGATATATTTTTTATTCCTTTTCAGTAATCACTTTCATACACAATTGCCTTTTTATAAAGTAATATCATATTCCAAGTTTAAGTTATGATAATCCTTTTGCTAGTAAGAATTTGGTTATTCAACAAATTTGATAAGTTTGATATTTTGTGTAAAAGTGCTGTTGAAATATCAAATATTATTTTATATCTTTGATATATTATTTTCTATAAAATAAACGGAAAATGGTCAAAACTATCCTTAAACTATCCGAAATAGCTTAAATATACCCTTAAACTATATTTCGGCTCAAAAATACCCTTCCCGTCAAACTATTGGGCCACACCTACCCTTCTAGTTAGTGGAAGTATCCATGTGTGTGTTAAATGCCACATGGATGCCACATGTGCACTCCAAACAGACCCCACCTCCACATAGACGACTACGGAAAAGGGTCAAAACTACCCTTAAACTATTCGAAATAGCTTAAATATACCCTTAAACTATATTTCGGCTCAAAAATTCCCTTCCCGTCTAACTATTGGACCATACTTGCCCTTCTGTTTAACAAAAACATCCATGTGTGTGCTAAAATGCCACATGGACTCCACATGTGCACGCCAAACACACCCCACCTCCACATAGATGACTTAAAGCCTTAATTTCACTCTTTTCCCATCATTTTGCTAAAATGACTTTTTATAATATTTAATTGCCCCCAAGGCCTAGCTCAAGTGGCAAAAGGTGGAGGATTTGTGGCTTAGGTCGCAGGTTCAAGCCCCACACCATGCAAAGCGAAGCCTGGTATTTAAGTGGAGAAGGATAGAGAGGCGGGCCCATTATCCACAGAGTTTAGAAGGCTGTGATTGGTCCAAAGGGAGGGCAGGTCACAGACGAATTTCTCGGTTATAAAAAAATAAATAAAAATAAAATAAAATAAAAAAATATTTAATTTATATTGATTATGTTTAAAAAGATAATGCACGTTCGGATATTGAAAACAAACAATCTTAATTATACTATGTTCAGTTAGTTTTAGAGACATCTTAAAATTCAAAAATGTATTCAGATTTAGACGTCTTAATAATGCATATTCAGATTCAGACATCTTAATTAAATCTTAATGGAAACAAATGAGGCCTTAGCTGCCTTTTCTGCTACTGTGAACTTCTTAATATCATGGGTGAGTCACTCTGTAACATCCTTAAGTTTACTAGTGCTCACTGTCAATTACCATTTACCACTTACCTTTATGGAAATAGATTTAGTGATAGTGGTAAAACTTCCACTAGAAAGAGGGACTGTCTATTTCTCTTACACATGTACTCTTTCTCTGGAAAAAAGAGAGACAGTCGTAGGTTTGATTTCCTTTTTGTTTTAACTAGTACCAAAGGGATGAAATTTCATTGACAATAATTGCTTAAAATACAGATTAGGGAAAATATCTTACTCTAATTGACCATGAACCTATGACTAAACAGGATTGTTTTGTAAAGGAAGATGACGTACTCCTGAGTTCTTTATGTAGCATTTCAAATTTGTCAGTTTTAGCATGTATGTTTTTTTCTAGGTATTGCTGGCCGTCTTCCTCAGTTGGTGTCTGCCCAAGCTCTCAAGTTGAAGCAACTTACTGTGCTTACGCTAGCTGATACAAGCAAGGTACACTACATATAAGTGTAATAAGCCTTTTGACATTGTAATTTATCTTATGGAAAAAGTGAGCAATTGATGCATCCTTAGTAACTTTGTTCCTTCAGCTAGTTAATGCTAAAAATGTAAGAGGCTTGGCAGAGCTTTGTGGTGCTTGTTTGTTGGAATTCTTGAAATTTGTTTTTGGCATCTGGTCAGGGTAATGGATACAATCTATTTATTGGTACATGTAATTCATTGTCATTGGATCAAATCAGTACTATTAAAGTTGTTTGCTTAGCCTCCCTTACTTTGAATGTGTTCAGTGTTGTTTCCTTCATTTTGTTGTTGTGGAACATGTGAGTGTAGTCATCCCACTATGATAAAGTATTCCATTTGGTGATAACTCTAATAATGCTATTCAAGTAAATACTGGATACCTCACTTGTGGGATTACTTTGGGTATGTTGTTGTAAGTACTGGATACTTTGTTTTATGCTTACCTTGTTCAGTGTCAACAACTCTGTATATCGTGCTATCTGCGAGATGTTTATCGGTGATTTGCATGATTATCATATCTCTCAAGTTCATTTCTCATAGTGGAAAAGAATAAAATATATGTATGTTTTTCAGTCTTTAACATTCTTTTGTGTTTCTTCATGACAACCCTTTTCATATATCAACAACCTTTGATAATGATGTTCATATTCACTTCTTTCACTGATGTCCTTTGTTATTAGAGTCACTGCCAATAATGACTCCTTTCCTCTTTCTAGGTGCTTCCATATGATCAACTTATGCAGGAGTTGGATGTCACAAATGTGCGTGAACTTGAAGATTTTCTCATAAATGAGTGCATGTATGTGGTGAGTATTAGCTCTCACTCCTTGGATCATTGTGTTATGAATAGAGATATCTTTGTACTTTCCACTATTGGAAGTGTGTTGGACTTAAGTTTATCGTAGGAATTTGCTTCTATTGATGTTCGTAGGATAGTTTATTTAGCCTTCTGGATAGAAATTCAACTTATTCTTTTAGTATGGGTTCTGGTGCCTCATAGGTTATTTGTGGTTTACTTTTGCCTTTTCCTTCCCTTCCTTTATTCACTCTCTCTTTGGGGTGGGGGTTGGGCTAATAACTGATTTGATGTCTCAGTCTGTTATTAAAAAAAATATTAATTCCCCATTTTTCTGCATCCGTGGACAGGGCATAGTTAGAGGAAAGCTGGATCAGTTGAAAAGATGCTTTGAGGTTGGTATGGTGTTTTTGCTGTTTCGCCAACTCTTGGTTGCTGTGAGCTGAGATGTGGTAATTAACTGTCTCCACACAATTATAGGTACAATTTGCTGCAGGGAGAGATCTCAGACCTGGTCAATTGGGGAATATGCTACAGACATTAACTGACTGGTATATCTATGTTCTTGTTTAGATGACTCTGATTGCCATATCATTGTATCACACCCTATTATCTCTGTTTGAGTATATTATTTAGTTGTTTCTTAGTTGGGCTTGGGGTCGTGTATTGACTTTACAATATGATCTTTCTATTGATAGTCTGTTGTCCTATTTATATGACAAACATCTTCTGTTCATAAATAGCTGTTCTTGAAGAGTTGTTGAGTTCTCTTTTCTTCCCCTTCGTGTCTTGATCTCCTCACCTTCATAATGACTTACTGAGCTGTACTTTGTATGCCAGTTTCTAAGATTTCTTTTTTCTATCCTTAAATAAAACAGATAGTCTAGGTTATAGAAGTGATATGAGTTACATAATCTGCTTATGGGATCTGACCAATTTCTTCAGTAATGTATAATGTTGGATTAGACCATGGTGAAGAGCAGCTCTTATGATTGTCATATTAATACCTTTGAAGCTGAGGCTGCCGACACAAAGATGACTGAGGTGGATATTGATCGTAAGCTGAAAAATAAGGACTTGGCTTTTGGTGGAAACATATCAATTTGAATTCTCACTTATCAAAAAGTTTCAAGTCAAGTCTATAAATTTTTTCAAAGCAGGAGGACACAGATAAAGAAAAGGATGCTCTGCCTTAAAAAAACTCAACACTGGGTTTACCCATCACAACAACCCAAAAAAAGAAGCAAAAAACTCTTAACACTAGATCGGATAGCGAACCAACAGCTATGGAATTTTTAGTGAACGGGCTGAGAAAACAGTTATTAGTGAAAAGGTTGAGCTCAGTCACCTTATCTTTTTCATTTTTTTTAATCCAAAAGGGTAAGTACCTTTCCTTTTGGAGGTAGGAAAATCAATGATCGGATAGCGAACCAAAAATGCTATGGAACTTGGGTGTGGGTCTTTTGAATCTTCATTTTTGTTTTCTTTTTAAGAAAATCAAGTGCAACCATTTCTGTTTGGTTGTAAGATCTGCCATTGTTGTTGGCCTACAATATTGATGATCAGATGGCATATTCAGATTTAGTTGCTGTTATTTGAAGTTCAGCACTACTGGCAAGAAACAATAAAATCTGTTAGGAATAAGGGAAAGGAGATGTAAGTTATGGTGTTTCCGGTGAAGCGCTTATAAGTTAGTGGGTGGTTTTCCGTTCACATGGATAGGCAACGAGGGGCCTGGTAAGTCATGAGGGTCCAGTGGAGGCTGTATTTGGGATTGAAGTAGGTTTGATTAAGGAAGATGGGCATAAAACATGAAGTTAGGTTTGAAGAATGAGATTTGAAGAAAGAGTAAGTTTTTTGGTTGGGAGGGTCTTTTCTTTAGTTGGTTTGTTGTCTTAGTACCGTTGCTTGAAATGATGAAGGGAAGACATGCAACATTGCGCATGCTGGCATGTGACACAACCTCAATGATGGATGTACCAAAGGGGAGGAGTAAAACATTGAGCCTGCTGTCCAGATCTGAAATCTTGGAGGGTTTTGGGAATTCTGCTTCTTGCTTGTAAAAGCTGAAAAGTGGAAAGATGAACAACTTGTCAAGGAAAGAGCCATCAGGCAACAGTAACAAATGCTTGTGTATGAGGTTCTTGGGTAGTGGGGTGCATTCATGGTTCTTGGGTTCTTTTATTTGAGCCCACTTCAAGATATGTAACTAGTTATTATTTGGTTGTATTATTTTGCATCTCCCCTTTGGGTTTTTCTCTAACTGAGTAGTGTTCATGTTGAGTTCTATTTTCTGATAAAATTTATCGTATTTACCTACCAAAGAGATTGTTGAGTGTGGATTGGTGTTTTGAATGATTTATTACTCAATAAATTGGTTAAGTATGAAATTGTGTCGGGCATGTGTCCAAGTCATGTTTGGCATGAAGTTGTGCTGAGAATGTTCACACAAACTTGCCTAGATGATGCATCTATATTCACTAGTTTTGGAATATAAACTAGATTTAACCCATTATTAGTAGCCATTATATAGCATGTTATTCCTTGTCTATTCTGGTTTTAAGGAATTAAGGTTAGTATCCTGGGAGCCAATCCCGAGACCCATAAATGATTCAATCTAGGATCCCAATTTTGAGAATGTCATTATGCGAATGTTATTGGACTGCATGAATTCGTTTGCTCCCCCTACACTTCCCCAAGTCGGTAGAAAATCTCACCATGCTGTGGGGTCCTGGGTCCACAGGATGGAAGAACTAGTCGGAACACCTCTGTGGTATAATTGATGCTGAGTCAGAGGTCAGTGAAAAGGCTGCTTACTTGCCTTCCAGTTGCATGTTTTTATGAATGTTCATTTAAGTTCTCTCTGGTATGGCATAAAGTCATCTATTTTTAGTAAACTTATCTACCTTGTCAAAAAATGAAAGAGAAATCATGTCAAGATGATCATTCATTTTATTTGAGCTAATAATAGTCTTCCAGCCTTATTCTTGCCATTTTTTACAACTGTTGATTATACTTCTCTGTTTTTCAATTAGTAAGACTTTTTCTCTTATTGCAACTATGTGAACAACACAACTTTGGAAATGTAAATTTGGAACTTTTGTGTGGTGGAAATTATATGATAATTATTTTTACTGAGTACAATCCCACAACTTTCTATGCCATAAATCAAATGTAAATTGAATCTGCAGACTTGTGGTATACTACCAAAGTTAGGTGAGGGATAAGATTAAAAGAGTTGGACGTTTTTGTGTACGCTGTGGTGTTACTCTGATGTATGTGTTCCGTCTTACAATGAGAGGTCCTTGTGAAGTGTGAACTATGAATGTTCTGCATGCTATAACTATAAGATCTAACTGTAATTGTCAACCTACTCATAAATTTATTTCATTTTTTGATAAAAAACAGGTTGACTACTTCAGACAATCTTCTTGTCTCAATTCAAGAGAAAATCAAATGGGCGGATACAATGAGTGAATCGGACAGGAAGCACCGGAAGGAAGTTGAAGAAAGGGTTGATGAGGTGAAGAAGTCACTCTCTTTGAAGGTGAGTACAGTATAGATTTTCAAGAGCTGAGTTCTGTGTTGATTGTAAAAAGTAAAAACTATGGGCATAACTTCACAGTGCACCCGGCCATATTGAATGGCGAGCATGTCTTTCAGCAGATGGACTTGGTCTACCTGGGTTGTGAGATTCCTTTTTTGGGGTAGAATATCTTCGTAGTTTGCCCATTTGAGTCCTAATGACCCTCAGTTCGTGTTTAAGCCTTTTGTTATGTTGAAGACTCACTTTATATTTTAGTACTGGGATATTTTTGTCGATCTGTCTTACTTACTCTGTGGCAGAAGCTACAAACTGTAAGCAGGCCGATGTTGACTTCAGAGGGCATGAGGAGATCTACTCTGAATCTGGTGGAGTGATGGATTATGAGGAAGACCGAGGCCGACCGAAGAGGTAGTAGTAGTCTTATATATCCCGGGATTAAATTTTCCAGTCATTTAGCAGCTAGTCATGGTCTGTATATTGACCTATGAAATATATCACATTAAAAACCTGATAAGGGAAGAAAGATCCTATGATTGACTGATCCACAAGTGTGGCCAATGGAGTATTGTATTCTTGGGAAAGGGGGGACTGCTGCAGCCTGCAGGGTCACTTCAGTCAATTCCAATGCCATTGCAAGAATGCTTCAAACCAAAATATGAATTGGCGGAGACATGAAACCACATCTATCCTTCCATGCCAGTTGAATGCTAGAAACCCTAGAAGCCTTTACTCTCTAATGAGTTTAATATCTTTACACTCTCATGAATGTATTTTTACACTTATCATATCACTTTTAAGAGATATTGGTAACTTGGAAAGAGGTTAAATTCCTCAAAAATTCTTTACACGGTCAGTGTCTATTTAAATATTGTACAGATAGTCTCTCATCTGCTGATTTTTGACTTTGTAAAATTTGCAGGAGACGACACCCTATTGGTTAAGGTGATGGAGTAGGGCAATGTTAAGAAGAATTAGAGGGGCTGCTGGCCAGTTTTTTTTGTTGTTGATGGCATTCCGACCATAGATGCTTTCCCTTTTAAAGTTTGCCGTGCTGTGAATGGAACTTGTAGACTCGAAAGTATCCGATAGCCATATTTTGCATCTTGTTTGCGTTTTTTGAGTTGGAAAGATTTTAATATGACGATGATGATGCGGCTGAAACTTGTGGAGCTGATTCATTTGACATTCATATAAGTCTATATGCTTTCCCCCCAAGTTATGTTTTGAGTGATTGCTATAAGGTACAGGTAATTTCCCATCTTCATATTTTACATTTAAGCCTGAATTCATCATATTAGGTGATAGATTTTTCTGCTGAGATTGTGGGTAGCTGATTTACATTCTCTTTTCAACAGCATGTTACAATAAAATTGGTTGAAGTTAGAATGCCTAGATATAATAATATAATAATAAATTGAAATAGGATTGGTTCTAGGGTAAAAAAAAGAAGCAGAAAACCTTAGATCATTTCATCTACTTTAAATATCTAGAATTTAGAAAGCGTAAATTCTTAAAAGGAATTATCAGAGATATTATACCTTATCTTTCTAGAAGCTCTTCTAAGTATCTTTGATAAGACTGAAAGTACTTTGTGGAAGATATCAAACTAAGCTTTTTTATAAAAAGTGTCTTTTTTATCCGAATAAAGTTATTACTTTCGAATTATGAATTTCAATCTCATAAACGGGCTATGAAAGAGTAGTGGGGTATATGAGGATTTTACCCCTTTATCTTTGTGGATCTAAATATTCTATAGTTCGAGAAACTAATTTTCAAAAATGTTATTACTACTTTTTTACTTTTAATTTATTAGTACTACTTTTCTTGGACTACGATGTTTGTAGTATTTTTCAAAAAGGTTATAGGTACGGATTAGGAAAATGGTGCACCAAAATATTCCTTTCATTCTTCCTTCTCATCTTGGCTTTAATTATTTTAACAACTCCCATATACACGTTATTGGTAAATTATAAAATACTCCTCCTATGTTGCTAATTAGTTTTTGCCTATGTCGTTGCAAAAATTAGGATTTTTTTTCTTACCTCGCTGGCCAATTTTAAATTTATCTTACTCTTCCTCCATCTCTTTCACATATTGGTGGATATAAATTCAAGGGAAAGAGATGCTACAATTAGTTTCTTGTTACATATTGGTGGATATAAATTCAAGGGAAAGAGATGCTACAATTAGTTACTTCAACAAGATCGTTGTTGGTATTAAAAATATCATTAGTTCCTCGATTCATTTTGGGGTCTAAAAAATTCTTGAACTATATATTTACTGGATTTAGTCCTCCATTGGATAAAATTAGGACTTGATCTTCTTTCCTCGTTAATTTTATTTTGAATCGTTGAAGTTAAGTTCTTTTCATAAGAGTAATTTGAAGAAAAATAACAGGGAGAGAGAAACAACTAAAAAAAAAAGTAGCGTATGTCTTTGGTTAAAACAATAGGGACTAAAATTGAAATTAATGTATAAAGTCAGGGACAAATCCATTTTGTTTCTAGTTAAAATTAATGTTTTATAAATTATTTATTTTGTGTTCATATCATCACATGTTATAATTTGTAAGTTTTTAATTTTTTAAATAGACTTTTTCTATATAAGAATATATGACATACGTACTTGTATATTCGTTGGGATTATATATTACAATCTATAAATATCACTAAAATAAATTGGCCACATCGAACATAGTTTTTATTTATTAAAAGAAGCAATTTATATTGTAAGCAACAGCTAAGCAGAAAATAAACTAATATTTCCTATCAAATGAGTAGATGTTTCATATTCTTTTTATAATTGTGGGATCCGAATAAATTTGCACGCATCTCAATTAATTTTATGAAATATTTATTATCTCCCACCTACAATAGACATGTTACCTATCTACCAAAGCTAAATAATACGAGAAGAAATTACCTTATATTAGAATTTAAATCTGATACCTCATGATATTCAACTTTACTTCGTGACAACTAGATTATACCTTGAGCAAAAGTGTTGGTAATTTAATAGTACCTTTTTGGACAAAACAAAATGATACCTCAGTGTGACGGTGTCCATTCCAAGAATAATACATAATTAAATCAATTATATATAAAAATAAGAATAAAAAAAGGTTATTAAAAAATAAACACATGTTAAAAATAAGTACTTTGATTGATGGGCTCGTTGCTTCTACGAAATTCCAATAAATTACACTCATGATAATTTTAAAAATGAAAAAAAACATGTGTTGGATCACATAAATATTATTTTAAATAAATAGTGGACAATATGGTTCCCTATAAAATGAAAAGAAAAAATATAACTTCATCATTCATTCACACTCATCAGCTCAAACACTTCTTCAATTTTAGTAAAAGAATTTTTTTCCTTAAAATTCAAAATTCAAAAAATGTACCAACAAAAAACAACAACCATTTCAGATTCTGATCTTTCCGTCCTTGAAAACATCAAATTCCATCTTGTTAATGATTCTGATTTTTCTCAAATCCTTTCAATGTTCGATCCGATAAATATGAGTTATGCAGATATTATTAATAGCCCGAATTCGAGTTATAGTAGCTCTACGTCAGCAGCAGAGATTAGTTGGGGAGATATGATAACTAATATTGATAGTCCATGGCAACGTGTCGATAAATTGGAGCATGAGGAGGAACCAAAAGAGGAGCCTATAGTTGCACGTGGTGTGCACGCGCCTGGTGATTGGAACCGGTATAGAGGCGTTAGGCGGCGGCCGTGGGGTAAGTTCGCGGCGGAGATAAGAGACCCGGATAGGAAAGGTGCTAGGCTTTGGCTAGGGACTTACGAGACACCCGAAGATGCAGCATTGGCATATGACCACGCCGCTTATAAGATCCGTGGCTCTAAGGCTCGACTGAATTTCCCTCATTTAATCGGTTCGGACATATCCGAGCCGGTTAGAGTGGCTCCGCGTAGGCGTTGCCACTCGTCAGAGTCATCATTGGTAGAATATACCTCTTCAAAGAAGAGAAAATTATAAATTAGAGGCAAAAATTGTATTAGTCATAAGGTTGTCTTGCATTTGTTAAATATAGTGTGTACGTCTTCTTCACACTTTTTAACCTTGTGTATATCTCATCAATAATAATATATTCAGAAAAAATTTATAAGTGGAGCTTGAAAAGGGTATGGTATACACATACCTAATTACCATATCTCGTGGAGGTAGAGAAACTGTTTTTGAAAGATACTCGACTCAAGTGCAACAAATCCAAGTACAAAGACGAAGAAAATTATAATGTAGAAAACATAGCAATTAACAAAAAAAAACAATGTAAAATCTACAAGAAAGGAACACGAATAACAAAATAGTGTGATAATCAAAACGAACAGTAAGCAATAACAAATGATGATAGATATTAAATGCAAAAACTATAATAATACGGTTAGTACAATGACAATCATCAATAAGCTTAAACCCTCAAAAAGAAAAAAACACTACACTACCTACTAACCTTCTACCCAGGGGCGGACTCACCCTTGGCTGAGGAGTGTCAAGCGACACTCCTTCGCCGGAAAATTACATTGTATATAAGATCAAATTTTTCTTTAAAATATGTATATATAACTATTGACACCTCTTGACACAAGTAAAATGTTTAGTTTAGTGATTAAGGGGTTGCAAAAGTTTCTTAACGTTGTGTGTTCAAGTTGTAACCTCTCACACTTCTTCTCTGAAACCTAGCTTTGCGCATCTTCTCAAGAATAATGTAGCTCAACCAAACTACTTGGTGCCAAATTTTATTTTAATTGCCTCCTCTCGAGGCCTTGCAACTTCATCATTATTGTTTCTTGATATTATCATATTAATTATTATCCACCTACAAATTAAAGTTATAATCATACGCAAATCCTTGTTCCTTAGCAAATAAGCTAGGATCTAAATGTGATGCATGCATACAAAAGTAAACATATAAAATGAAAAAAGAAATCACAAACCATATATGCTCATGGAACTTGTTTGATTTATAATCAATAAGGACTTTAATTTCTTAAATTTGTAAAATAAAATCATTAGGATATAATTAGTTAGACACATATTCGGGCTATCGCTCCGTATGAATATCTTTATCGAGTTTCTTAATAAGATTTTCTCAGATACAATTCGATTCTTTTACGATTAAATTTTAATTTGTATAAAGCCTATAATGACTTTCTTATTAAATATTAATTTTTATTTTGCTATAAATTTCTAATCTTTGTTATATTGATCCCATTTTTTATCCCTCATAGCATTTGGTGGGTTGTTCTAATATGTAAATTTATAAGAATTAGGTGTCAAAAGGATCACTTTTTCAACAAAAATACATAATAGGTAAGAAACTTATGTAGTTTTTATTTTCCTTTCTCAGAATAAGTAAAAAATATATATATTAAGGAATCAAAATGCTTTTTTGAATAGGTAAAACCGTAAAAGAATCAAAGTAAAAGATTTTCTGAATTGTTAAAGAATCACGCGAAAATCTTTATTTTATGTACTAGACACAAGATTTATAGAATATAAAATTTTATTTCGATATTACAATTATCGCATATTTTGATTGAACAATTGAGCACATGATAAAGAGTTCTTATTAGACACATTTAACTCAAAATTTTAATTTTTTATTTTTTTTGCAAGTATTCTCACATTACATTAACAAGTTTTTTTTTTTTTTTTAAATCTCCAGAATAATCCATAATCGTTACAACGTCTACCAGGTTCAAATGTTCAATCAAACAAATTATAATTTCAATGTCAAAATAAAATTTAAACTAAATAAAACATTTAAGAAATAGTCAATGTACTCCACCTTTATACGAAAAAGAAAGAAAAAGAATTGAACATGAAACGTGGGGTTTTGGGTGTAGAAGTATTTAGTAAAGGTCCTAAAAGACATGACTCTTGAAGAAAGAGATTATTTGTTGAAAAATGTCTCTTCTCAATTGGTCCACTAATATAGATATTTATAGTTTATCAAAAATAAATATTTTATTTTTTTGTTACAATTTTATAAAATAATAACAAATGAATTTAGAGTTTCAAAGCATCATTAAAAATGTTAGTTAACTGG